ATATATGTATGTATATATATATGTGTGCTTGTTTGTGCGTGCGTGCGTGTGCGTGTGTGTTCACAAACATGAATTCGCGTTCATTCACGGCCCACTACAAAACCCCAGAAAGCACGTCCGGGTGAAGTTCTTGCCACATTTAATACCTCACATACAAATTTGTAAACATTCATACATGAACATATTAAATCAGTATTACTCTATTCAAACTATATATATATTCACCTTCGTTCATTTCCTCAGGCGAACGTATATGGCTTGAGTTCTCGCGGATAGTCAGTGGACCCAATGCCGCCGCAGAGCTGACTGCTTTCGGACCCACACGCACTAACATCGGCACATACATAGACATCCCACCCGCAGCCTTCTCTCCAGACCGCCTGGTACATCTAGAACGCGTACGGATGCTCACCACACAAACCCAGACACAGGAACACGCACAGACACAGACACAGTCAACGGTGGTCAGTGCGAGTACCAATCCGAATGCGAATCCGGTCACGTGTCTGATGACGCTGCTGGAAGACGAGGCACAGTTCATGCTGTTGGTGGAGAACTACCGTATGAGCAAGAAGGAAATGAATCTCGGTTTGTTCCTGAGCGAAAAAAGGGACGTGATTGGCTATCCCATGGCGGTAGAGTCGGTGTTCTCTCCACAGCCATTGGTGGATAGGGAGTCCACCAATGGGATCGGAGAGAATAGAGGCGAGATTGATCAGAGTCTGATGTTCAAACAATGCACAGACCTACTGGTAGATGGCGTAGCGCCGGAGCTAGTGGTCGAGCTGTGTCTATATTTAGAAATGCCACAGATCGCTCATCACGTACGCACGTGGGAAATCCGGCAATTCCCCATCAATGGGAAGATTCTGGCTAAGGAGGGCAATATGCAGAAGGGACCTGCGCTGGGGCATGTGTTGAAAGAACTTAAGAATAGATGGAAAGCCAGCTCTTACGTGCTAACGAGCGAGAAACTCCTGGGCCAGCTGCCCGAGCTACTTGCGGAGGTGGATAGGTTGGGGCTCAATGTCCCGCCACCCTCAAAGGGTAAGAAACCAAAGCGAAAGGGACCTCAATAGGGGCCTTTATAAGGGTGAATCTGAGTGCCCGGGTCACGTAGTAAACGAAATTTAGAATGTACAAGCCTTTAAGTGTAGCGCCGTGTGCTTTAGCCACCGCACAACCAATGGGGTCTTTCAAAAATAGAATGTGTATGCTTTTGGCCCAATTTTGTACCCGAGTTTAAATACAGGCGGATGTCGGGCGTCCTGTCGCCGGTCTCAGAAGATTAGTCATCCGAAATGCAAACGGATTTAGTAGTTTATTGTCTGAGCTTAGCGGAGGGTTCGATTCTAGGCCTTGTAGGAGAGTAACGCTAAAAGAAGATCGGGGATGAGTGTTTACCTACCATTTGGCGACCGTCGAAAGTTAATGGGTCAAGAAATCAATACGTATACGGCCTCGATATGGGCCTTTGCGTCTGTGCGAGAGACTGTACCTCTCACCTGTTGATGTCGAGCTAAAAATAGATAGAAGGCTACTAAAAATCGATAGAAAGCTACTAAAAATTGATAGAAGGCTACTTAAAATTGATAAAAAGCTGCTAAAAATTGATAGAAGGCTACTATAAATAGATAGAAAGCTACTATAAATAGATAAAAAGCTACTAAAATTTGATAGAAGGCTGCTATAAATAGAGAGAAAGTTACTATAAATAGATAGAAAGCTATTAAAATATATAAAAAGCTACTAAAAATTGATAGAAGGCTACTAAAAATAGATAGAAAGCTACTAAAATTTGATAGAAGGCTACTATAAAAAGATTGAAAGCTACTAAAAATAAATAGAAAGCTACTTAAAATAGATACAAAAGCTACTAAAAATTGATAGAAGGCTCCTATAAATAGATAGAAAGCTTCTAAAAATAGATAGAAAGCTACTTAAAATAGATAAAAAGCTACTAAAATTTGATAGAAGGCTACTATAAATAGATTGAAAGCTACTAAAAATAATAGAAAGCTACTTAAAATAGATACAAAAGCTACTAAAATTGATAGAAGGCTACTATAATAGATAGAAGCTACTATAATAGATAGAAGCTACTATAAATAGAT